CGGGCGGGGCGGGGCGGGGCGGGGCGGGGCAGAATGTGGCGGAGCGAGGCTTACGCGGGCCAAATTGAAACAGCGCTGCACCCCGGTGAGCCCCACCGCGCCACCGCGGCTGCGGGGCCCAGCCCGGCCCAGCCCGGCCCAGCCTGTGATCACCCACTCATCCGAAACTCAGTGTTTTCCTTTCTTCCCGTGGCCCCACGTGGGGTCGTCGGGCGGGGCTCAGCGGTGGGGTTCCCGAGGCGGGGTGGCGCGGGCGGCCTGGGCGGCCCGATCCCTGTGCCAACTCGGGGCCCTTCTGGGCCTCTACCTGGCGCGTCACGGCGACACGGCCCGCTGGCTCGGCCGTCCCGATGTGGGCCGTGCTTCAGGCCCGCTCCAGCCCGCTCCAGCCCGCTCCAGCCTGGGCGTGAAGATCGCTCAAGGACTCACCCGCCTCTCTCCTCCTTGCTCCGCCCTCTCCACGCTGCTCTGCGTACCCTTTCGAACAACGGGGAGGGTGTCCCCCTTCGCAGTGTGATGGAGAAGGCGCAACGGGTGGTGCTGGTGGCCACGAACACTGAGGCCTGCCTGGTCCCAGCATGATTCCAGATCAAAGTGGGGGCAAAGTAAAACACTTTTGAGATTAATGAAGCTTTTTTTTAGCAGATGATACCTTCACACTTGAAACATACTTAAAACTACTATACACATGAAGGTGTCAGCGTGCTTTTACTCTCTAGTCCAGAAACGAAGCGCGTATCCTAAACAATATAATAGGGGCTGGCTGCCGGGGCGGGCTGGTGCGTGTGTCTGGCAATGAGGCGCAGCCTGCGCGGAATTCGACAATCTCTCCTCGGTACAGTGCCAGCGGCACCGGGCGTAAACAGTGACACCCCCTCCTCGCTCGCGACGGCCTGCGCACAACATTGGCAATCCCTCCCCGCCTGCCACGGCGCGGAATATCGCGCAACAATACCTCCCGATTCGGCCCGGCCCGGGGCACTCATCGGGCCAGCTCGGGCTCGGCGGCGGGCGGTGCAGGCCACAGCTCGGCACGGCTAGTACCAACACCGGCCACCCCGCTCGGGTCTATATATTTTGTTTCATACACTATTTTAATTACTATCTTTGGAATGAGCCCGCATACTACCCCGTATAAGGAAACAAAACGAGTATTAACCGACAAATTTGAAAGGGAAAAGAAAAAATTTGAACTCTACACCCCCTCCCCAGTCTTAATGGGGAGGCCTCCTGCTTTACTTCGGTGTTCGGGATGGGAACCGGTGCTATCAGGTACCTGGGGTTAATCCCGTCAGCGACTCTAAGCGTTCGCCGGGGGACCCAGTAGGACCCCAAAGCTCAGGCAGCTGGGTGAGAGCACCCAGTACGAAGCTCTTAGAGGGGCGGGACGTAGAGTGAGACGACAGAGAGACAGAGAGAGACTCAGACAGAGAAGAGGTTTGGTGGGAGCTTCTTGTTTTCGTAGGGTTGGTTGTGTACCCCATGGTACCCCCACTGTCCGGCGCTCCCGTACCGAACATACAGCGTTTTAGGCCAGCTTCAAAGGACTTATCATCGCCTCCCCGACAAGTCAAGGAGGCACCACCCGCAACCACACACCGGGTGGTCTGGATTGATGGATCAAATACGCCATCGCTCCAGTGCCGAGGCCAACCCGCCGAAGCGGATTGCTTTTTAGACACCCACAGCGGAGTGGCCAGGTGAATGTGACTCTGACCACTACGCTATCACGCTTGTACGTCTGGCAGCGTGTTGGACGACGGGTTTGAGTTGCACTGGGAGGAAGGCGGTCGAAAAATGTAATGAAATGATGGGATTCGATCCCCGGACCCCGCCATCGGGACCACACGACTTTACGCTCTCGGCCACCACGGCCCATGATGAGGGGATCGGCGTGAGGTGGGTTCTTGACGCAACAGGACTCGACCGACCCGGTCAAAATTTCGCAAGAAGTTGGGGGAGTCGAACCGCCGACCCTAGCACTGAGAACCGACGCCTCTACTCCCTGGACCACCACGTCCCATGCTCGGAGCGGGCTCACGTTTACGGGTTTGAACCGCACTGGGTGAGGCAGTAAAATTAAATGGAAATATTTGTTAGGAGTCGAACCTCCGGCATGTGGGCCTGTTGCACACGGCTCCGCTCTCATGGCCTCGAACCACCACCCTTAGGATAGCAAGTCGAAAAAACTTTTGTGACGCTGGTATTCGAACGCCGGCCTGCGGTAACTCGATCCCACGTCTCTAACCTCTCGGCTATCACAGCAGTTGTGAATCCCGATGGATCATCTGCTTTAATTAAGGTTCGTCGAATGAGAATTTTTAAAGTAATGTACTTGGATTATTTTGCCAGAATATCGCATTATTTCGTGTTTGGCCCGCCTACAGAGTATCATCCGGGTTGTCGACCCTTCGAACGCGCTGACTGACTGGCGTCCCTTCTAGCGCGCCTTTGGCCGCCTTTGGCCGTTGGCAGTGGATGAGCATTGGCCTCCCCCTGCCTGAGACGCCCCCAGACGCCCACCCCCTCCCCCCTCCACAATTTTACTGCTCGCCGACCCCTATTCCGGGCCGCACTTCATTCCAGGCATTCCATACACACTGGCCTGCCCTGGCCCGGCTGGGCCTGGCTGGCTCGTCGGTGGGCCGCCCCCCCCCTCCCCCGCCACTGCCCCGATCCCCCTGCGCCCACCACCCTCCCCTCCCTTTTCCTCGTGCCCCCCGAAACTCCGAACGCTCCGAACGCGCACAGTACAACGTCCCGATGTCCGTCTCTGTCTACCGAGCCTGTTTCTCCCGACGGATCCCAAAAGTCGTTTTCGTCGCTCTCTCTCTCTCTCTCGCCTCCACGGCACGCGCCATGAGTGCGACAGAGACGGAGCGACGACAGCACTTGGGGTGGCTGCAGGCCGAGCCTTGCACCTCGTCGTTGTCCAGCCGCTGATGTGTTGCCGTTCGGTCACGCGAGGCGAGGCACCGAGGGGGGGGGGGTTGATGATCCTATCGCTCATCTCAAACGGGGCACGGACGCGATGGCCGAACGGCCCAGCGGCCCCACGGCCTCCACGCCCCAGCGGCCATGGCCTGGTGCGCCACTGCTAACCTCACCTGGCTCGCAAGGGGAGGGGGGGGGCTAATGCCGGCCGGCGATGCTATCGAAATGCGATTACGGGGTGGGCGGGTGGGCGGGGTGCGGCGGGGTGCGGCGGGGTGCGGCGGGGTGCTTGCAGGGATATAGCTGAGCTGTCACGGCGGGGCCGCCGCAGCCCGGCGGCGCCTCCGGCAGGCCGTGGAGTAGTTCGGGTAGGACGGCAAGGAGGTTGGAAAGGGGGAGGGGGACTAGCCGGGAGATTAATTAAAGGGATAGAGTTCGCTCAGAAACATCTTTTCACGAGATTAATAAATGCCTGACGGCGTGAGGCGCACGAGGCATCAGAGACATCAGAGAGCTCAAAATGCGTCAAGAATTTTTGCCGCCTCCACTGGTCTTCTGGCCCACTGTGCGCCGCGCCCTGGCGTGCCCAGCCCGGCCCAGCTCCCCAGTGGAGGCGCAGGCCGCAGGCACCCGCACACCGATCTACTTTCAATCGCCGTGCCCGCTCCTTGGGCGGCGTCGCGTGGCCGCGGAGGGAAACTCGGGGGAGGGCGGCCGACGTAATCCCCGATGGAGAGGAGGGCCTTCTTGTTGGCTGCACGACGTGCTGCACGACGTGCTGCCGAGTGCGGTGAAGCAGAGTGCAGCACGTGCAAAGACAGCCGGCGCTCCCAGGGCGCCCCAGCGGCCCCACCCCACCGACGTTTTCATAACGCGTCGCTGCGCGCAGGGATCGCAGTGATGGGGATTCGAACCCGGGCCCCCCGCGGCACCGCCTCTCCTTTTGCCGCCTACCACGGGGCCGTGGGACTGCTGGGACTTCGGCAGCCAGTGCTATAGCGCTCCAGTCCAGGAATAGACGCTCCAGGGCGTCTCAGCGTCGCGGTCCCCCGCGTCCCTCGAGGTCCGCGTCGGCCTACAGACTGATTCCCAACAGTGGCTCTCTGTCTCTCTCGCACTCGTCCCGCTAGGGTGCGAGAGAGACAGAGCGACGAAACCACTCTGCAGCGCCAGCGGCCCGCTCGTCCTTGCGTTCTTGTTCTCCGTCCGCATCGCCTTTGCTGTGTGTTTGCACCTGCCGGGCCGGCCGTGCCCGGCTAGCTGCTGTGGACGCCCCGCGGTGAAGCCCCCTCCCCCTCCCCCTGTCCTGTCGTCGTCTTTTTCGTTGACTCCGTCTAGCGTCCTCTTACACGCAGCCCTTGAGACCAAGCCCCACCGCCACGTCTGCCTGCTCCGACCCACCGCCACACCGCTTCTCCCAGCCATTCTCCCCCTCCCCCTCCTTGTTCGTTTCCGCTCCTGCGTGCGTCCTTTTCGACTCTCTTTTCATTCTCCGTTAGGAGTATTCGGGCGCCGCTGCTGCTTCTGCTTTGGGACGAAGGGGAAAGAATAGGTTTTCTGTCGCTGACACACTGCGCATGACGCAAGGCGTGACGCGCCACTGGTACCAAACAGCATTCTGCTGCCGCACGCGACGAATGCCGGTTTCCTCGAACCGCCGCGGCTGCCACGCGAAAGCGCGCGAAAGCGGGTCCGGCACACAAGAGGCATGCGTCCCGGCAGCGGACCGAACCGTGTAACACGACCCTAGCCAAGCTCTCTGTTTTCTTGCGTCCCCCTCCGCCCCCTGCCGGGCCCCGTGTAGCTAATTAAGTATTTACTCGTCGCACGGGCAGGAGCACACGGCTGCAGCGTGCGGCTTTCATTGCCTCGGTGGTCAAAAAAGTGGCCTCGCCGCTGCTGCTCCGCCGGGTGGACCAGCAACGGGATTTGAAATGTTTTCGCCGCCCTGACGCTGCGTTCCGTGCCGACGTCGTCGTGGAGTTCAATCATAGAGAGCGTGCGGTGGTACGACCCTGTTGCTGGGGTGGCTTTTTCATCACGCCCTTTGCCCTTCTCTGTTGCAGGTTCCTGCTCGTGCTCGTCTGCCTCATTTTCAGTGTGCTGTCCACGATAGACACGTACAGCGACTTCGCCAACGAGACGCTCTTCTGGATGGTGAGTTACAGTGTCCACACCCGGCCCACCCACCGGCCGGACGGGCTCTCTGAACGGGTGGAAGGCGGCGCCGTGGCGGGGCGATTATGATTGCCCCGTCCTCATTTTCGGCTTCGGCCACTGTGTGCGAATCCATAGATACGGCTCGTCTGCGGCCGCGGCCCCGCCCCGCCCCGCCCCGCCCCGCCCCGCCCCGCCGCGCCGCCCGCCGGTCCAGCGTCATTATGTGTGCGAGGGGGAGGTGGGGGTGCTCTGAAAAGCGCAGCGTGGCCCGCCTCGAACGGTAAGCGGGGGCACGGGGGGCACGGGGGGCACGGGGGCACGGCACGCCAATGACGTCATGGCGCTTTCTGTCTCTCTCGCTCCCCTGCGGATCGCCCCGTCAGTGCGAGAGAGACACACGCTCAAACCCCCAGCCCAAACGTATACAAATGCGATTCAGTTCGACCAGTGCACCGGGAGCTCCGAGCGCCTGTGGCGCTGCGGGTAGGCACCGCGCTCTGCCACTGTGCGCCGCGGGACTGCCTACGCCGCCGACCGCAGGGGCTCGGCCGCTCGGCCCCGCCAGAGGGTGCCAGAGCCTGCCCACTTTTGGAGCTCCTCATTCTCCAATCGAGTTGGGATCCAGTCGTACACGCGGCTCGCTCTTCCCTCCATGTTATCAGAAGTCATGCTTTGGATTCGAGTCCGATTTAAAGACGAGTGCCCGAAGCCCGTTACAAGATGATCGTGGTCACGTTGGCTTGATTTTCGATCGAGGCTCCTACAAGGTCTCCTGGAATTTCCGAAATGTTTTTAGTGCGTGTCCTTCTCTGCTCCGCGGCGGGACTCACAGTGCAGTGCTTGGCATTGCTTGGCATTGCTTGGCAGTGTGGCGGCGTGAAGACTCGTCGGCAGCTTTGTGTTTTGTCTCTTGGCGACAGCGCGACTGCTCGACGGCGGGACTGCGGGATGCCAACTTTCTCGTCTCCGGCTGCTCGGGCCGGCCAGTCCTTTGGGCCCTTTGTGTCTGCGGGGGATTACCACTGCGGGCCCGATATGCCGGGGCGGGGCGGGGCGGGGCGGGGCGGGGCGACTCCAGCTGATGGACAGAGTCAATTATTCTGGTCTGGTGCTTGCGGCCAGCACGGGTTGCTAATCCCTCTCTTCCTTTTTGTTTCATCCCCCCCCCCAAACCCTCGCCACCACCTGCACACGTTGCCGCGTCGCCGCGTTGCCGCGCATGTCACATTTCTGTTGATTTTTTACTGTTTTCTGTTATGTTTCCTTCCATGTCTGTGTGTGTTGGTGAGGCTGTCTGTGTGTGTGTGTCACAGGAACTTTCCAACGAGCGCGGAGCGTTTTACTGAGCGAAAGAATAAAAGCAACAACGGGCGCCGATAAAACGAATCGCTACTGTTATTGGAGTGTGGCGGATCTCATTCGCCCCGCATGGCCGCCACTGCGTCCGCACAGTGGGCCAGAAGACCGGCGGAGGCAGCCAAAACTCCAGGCGCGTTTTGAGCTCCAGTGTCGCTAAGTAGGACTCGAACCGAACGTGTGACCCCACCAATGGATTCCTCGTTCGGAGAGCAATTCCATTGGTGGGGTCACACACGTTCGGTTCGAGTCCCACTTAGCGACTCTGTAGCTCGGAAAGCGTCCGCGATTTTGACCGCCTCCACCGGTCGTCTCTGGCAACCTGCAGCCCGCAGAAGGACTCGAATCGACACCTTGCCAGGAAGGCGGCCCAGACCAGCCCAGGCCAGCCACGCACCAGACTGATTCCGAGAGTCGCTTTCGTCGCTCTGTCTCTCTCGCACTCATGCGGCGTCCCGTTTTGGTGCGAGAGAGAGAGAGAGAGAGAGAGAGAGAGAAAATCTCGGAATCAGTCCGCTGCCACCCCGAGGGCGATTATTGCCGCCTCCACGGCAGCCAACTTTGAAATTCAGCCGTGTACTTCCCCGTGGTGCGCGGCTGCGCGCGGCCCGAGCGCACGCGATCCGTGTTTCCCTGACAATAATGGCATTACCTCCCCCCGCCGTGGCCCTCTGTGTCGCTACCCCTCTTGCTAACTTTTGGTCGAGTGCTCCGCACCGTGCGATAGTCAAGTTCACAAATTGACAACCGAATCTGGATTCCCGGTAACTTTGCCCACTTTGACACTACCACGCCATAAGTGGCCCGGCGAGCTGTCCGGCAGCAGTCTGACCCGTTACAGTGTCCAGGAAAGACTCGGCTCATCGAACACGGGGAGGCACCTCCGGAAATTCTCGTTCTCGTTGGAACCCTCTCGACCTGGCGTCCACCTGCACCGCCGTGCCAGCATGCCACCAGCCTGCTCCCAGCTGCTCGCCCTAATCCAGCCCAGACGAGCCGAGCCCTCTGGCGCGCCGGATCACTCCGTCTGCTGCACCTTGGGGAGGGGGGGGCAACCCAATTAGTGGCGCTGCGTTCGAGGCATTCGGGCGAACGTGGTTACTCGATACGTGATCCACACCGCCCCGCCCCGCCCCGCCCGCAGCGCCGCCTGGTGGCCACGCCGCCACGCCCCGAGAGGAAGGGAATATCCCATTCCAGCGAAGCAGGCGGAGCAAGTGCGCCCTGCTCACGCGACCAGCCGTCGCAAAGTGCTGCCAAGAATCAGAAAAAGTGCAAAAACAAAACAAAAGGGGGATCAAATAAGAACGTTCTTTGGCGTGATGCTAATCAGGCGGGGGTGGCGTGATCCGCGGTGAGGGCTTCGTGTCGGCCGGGGGGCTGGTGGGTACCAAGGTAGCACGCGGGACGAGAAAGAAAGGGGGGGGGGGGCAACTTGAACCAGTGTACGTTTTAGGCGTGGCTGTATCCGGCCGGGAATCGAACGCGCGACACTAGGGCGGCGAGGGCCAGGGGGTCAGGCAGGCGTCGATTGGGATCGCGGTGTGGACGCCCCCGAAAATGGCCAGGTCACAGAGAGAGAGAGAGAGAGAGAGAGAGAGAGAGAGAGAGAGAGAGAGAGAGAGAGAGAGAGAGAGAGAGAGAGAGAGAGAGAGAGAGAGCCCTGTTCGGAATCGGCCTGCGTGGCGGCGTGGCGGCCGAACTTGCGGAGGTTTACTGCCGCAGTGTCGCGGGACGCGGTGGGACGCGGCGGGACGCGGCGGGACGCGGCGGGACGCGGGACGGGGTGGTGGTTAATTAAAGCCAACTGCATTCCCGGGGCGCCTAGGGTTGCCAACCGGCGGGTTGCACCACCGACCGCCGCCACCCCGCCGCTTTGGGGGCGCCTTAGACGCGCCGCTAGGGTTGCCGCCCCGGCGGCCCGGCCCTCCACCTGTGCGCTGTGGCCACCCTAATTACCCCTACGACTAATGGTAACCGAGCTATGTGCGTGTGTGTGTGTGGGGGGGGGGTGCGCGCTTGCGACCCCTTGCGCCTTGCCCTGCACGACACGACCGGCCTGTCGGCCTCGCCAAATTAGCCGGCCTCGCTGTCGCCCCCCCCCTTTCCCCTTTTCCTTAGGCACACACACACACACACACACAGAGGAAAATGCTACAACTATAATGGATTTTTAAAAGTAGCGGCGCTGCGACTGCGGGGCTGCGCGGCTGCAAGCTGTTGCTTGGAAACTTAATTTAAATTAAGCCTTTCCACCCCTCCTCTCTGTCCCTCTCTGACTAACTGTCAGTCCGTTATTATTTATGTCCTGTTTGTGTTTGTCTGTGCGTTGTTTGGGTGACTGATTGTCCGTGTGACTGTGTGAGTGTGTCAGCCCCCGTCTGGCTAGGCTACCCGTCTTCTTCGCGGGTCCGCACTGCGCCGCCCACCTCGCGGCGCTGGCCAAGATTTCGTCGCGGCTGTTGCACGCGAGGACGACGGAGTGACGGGGCCAAAGGATAGTGATGAGCTGCTTGCGGGCTACACCGCCTCCTCCGTGGCGCCGCGTTATCGGCAGGGCGACACGCAGCGACACGCCGCGACACTGCTGCGTGCGGCATGCGACGCCATCGTGGGGGGAAGGCCCAGACCCCGGCGCCGGCCAGGGCAGCCGGCCAGGGCAGCGGGGCAGGCGAGCAGGGCCAAGCAGGGCACGGCCCGTTGTTTGCAGGTCGTTCCCGCTGCGCCTGTGTGTGTGTGTGTGTGTGTACACTGTACAGATAGTTTGGAGCAGTGATGGCCAGATTAGCGCGGCTCCCTTCCCCTGGTAAGCGAAACACGCGGCATGTCAATCTGGGTCGACGCATTACCCCATAAATGACCGACCGGCGTCACGAAAGAGAGAGAGAGAGGGTGGGGCGTTGTTGTGGTGGTTCAATTTGGTTCAATTTGACTGTAGTTGTTTTTTCCCGCGCTTTGTGCACTGACGTCGCCCTGTTTTGTCTGTTGCAGGAGATATGGCTCGTCATGTTCTTCGGCGTCGAGTACCTGGTGCGGCTGTGGTCCGCGGGCTGCCGGTCCAAGTACATGGGCTTCTGCGGCCGTCTGCGCTTCGTGCGGAAGCCCATCTGCATCATCGGTGAGTCCGGAGAGTCCGGGGAGTCGAACTCACACACGACCGGCAGACAGACGCTGCATTTTTTAATCGCTCGCCATACCAAGCTTCGGGGCATAATTATCTTGACTCGGACATGGCTGCAGAGCAGACGCAGCGCGTGGAAAGAAAAAATGAAAAGGCGGCGCTCCTCTGCGGGGTTGTTCTGGTCGGGTGTAGAGGGGTTATGTTGGGTTGCCCGTGAACATGAGCTACTTTTGTCCATACTGAAAGAAGCATCATCAATGACAGTTGCGTTCAGGAGGAAAATTTTCCAGCTTCGAAAGGGTTGGCTTCATCAACGCGAGTCTATATCATTTCTCCTACCTAAATGTTCGCCTACCTGTCTATTTCGCCTACCTATATTTCGCCTACCTAATAAAAATATTGAATAAAAATATTCAATAAAATATTGCCATTTTTCGCCTACCTATAGTTCGCCTACCTAAAAAAAAAATTTAAAAAAAAATATTCAAAAAAAAAACGAAAAAATCGGCGGAAAAAAGTGGCAATACGAAAGTCTCAAGGAGACCCGCCGATCAGCTTCGGTGTTCTTAGGGGAAACCCGGGGCCTTCATCCGACGCTCCCGCCGCGCAATTCGACAGATTAGTGGGTCGTATTGGGCTGGCCCACCCGAAGTGCGCGCGGTTTCTGTGGTACAGTGAGAGTCCAGATTCAGGGGCCCTTTACCTCAGAGGGGTCACATTGGGTATTTGAACCCGCGCCCCCGAGTGCCGAGTCTAGTCACTCCTCTACCCTGACCGCTCAGCCCCGAACCAGCTTGTCGGCGGCGATGTCGCAACCCCTCTTGAGCTGCCGTTCGAGAAATCTGGTCCCGAAAAAATGGTACTTTGAGCGGTCTCAAACCCCGGGACCTGCTGCTTCCCACATCATGCTCTTACCACTGGCCACCGGACGCCATGGCACCCGCCCTGCCTGCGCTGGTACTCAATCTTCTCTGGAAAACCCCCCCAAGCAATTGGTCGCCGAAAAAATTGTGTATACTACCGGCCCCCAAACCCCGGGACCTGCTGCTTCCCACATCATGCTCTTAACCACTGAGCCCCCGGGGACGCCATGGCACCCGCCCTGCCTGCGCTGGTACTCAATCTTCTCTGGATATACCTCCCCAAGCAATTGGTCGCCGAAAAAATTGTGTATACTACCGGTCCCAAACCCCGGGACCTCCCGTTTCCCCACATCATGCTCTTAACCGCTGAGCCACCGGGACGCCATGGCACCCCCTTGCCAGCGCTGGTACTTTTTCCCTTTTCGGGATAGACCTCGTCAAGAAGTCGGTTCCCTTTGCCGAAAAATATGCTCATGGCACTAGCCTCGAACCCGAGACCTGCCAGTCAGGAACGCAGCACTCTAACCACGCGCTACCAGGTTGCTATGCACGCCACTACCTAGCGCCAAACTTCAATAGCCCCCCATCTTGCTTGATGCTGGAAATAATAACTTCGGCGAGGGGGTGAGCGCTGTGCGTAGCAACCAAGTAGCGCAGTGGTTAGAGTGCTGCGTTCCTGACTGGCAGGTCTCGGGTTCGAGACTAGTACCATGACCATATTTTTCGGCAGAGGCAACCGACTTTTTGACGAGGTTTTTTTTGGAGAGGATTGAGTACCAGCGCTGGCAGGGGGGTGCCATGGCGTCCCGGTGGCTCAGCGGTTTAAAAGCATGATGTGGGAAGCGGCAGGTTCCGGGGTTTGGGACCGGTAGTATACACAATTTTTTTGGCGACCAATTGCTCGGGGAGGTATATCCAGAGAAGATTGAGTACCAGCGCAGGCAGGGCGGGTGCCATGGCGCTCCGGTGGCTCAGTGGTAAGAGCATGATGTGGGAAGCAGCAGGTCCCGGGTTCGGGCCGGTAGTATACACAATTTTTTCGGGGACCAATTGCTTGGGGGGGTATATCCAGAGAAGATTTAGTACCAGCGCAGGCAGGGCGGGTGCCATGGCGTCCCCGGGGGCTCAGTGGTTAAGAGCATGATTGGGAAGCAGCAGGGCCCGGGTTCGGGACCGGTAGTATACACAATTTTTCGGCGACCAATTGCTTGGGGGGTTTTCAGAGAAGATTGAGTACCAGCGCAGGCAGGGCGGGTGCCATGGCGTCCCGGTGGCTCAGTGGTTAAGAGCATGATTGGGAAGCAGCAGGTCCCGGTTCGAGACCGCTCAAAGTACCATTTTTTTGGGACCAGATTTCTCGAACGGCAGCTCAAGAGGAGTTGCGACATCGCCGCGACAAGCTGGTTCGGTGGCTGAGCGGTCAGGGTAGAGGAGTTGACTAGACTCGGCCTCGGGGTCGCGGGTTCAAATACCCAATGTGACCCCTCTGAGGTAAGGCCTCTGAATCTGGCTCTCACTGTACCACAGAAACGCGCGCACTTCGGGTGGGCCCGCCCAAAACGAACCCACTAATCTGTCAATTGCGCGGCAGGGAGCGTCGGATGAAGGCCCGGTTCCCATAAGAACACCGAACTGTCGGGGGGTCTCCCTTTAGACTTTCGTATTCCACTTTTTGCCGCCGATTTTTTCGTTTTTTTGTTGAAATTTTTATTTAATTTTTTTATTAGGTAGGCGAACTATAGGTAGGCGAAAAATGGCAATATTTTTTTGAATATTTTATTCAATATTTTTATTAGGTAGGCGAAATATAGGTAGGCGAAATAGACAGGTAGGCGAACATTTAGGTAGGAGAAAAGAACAACGCCCCAACGCCCCTTCCAGGAAAATTGGGGGCGCTCACGGCCCCGCACGCCAGAAGGGGGTGCCCATACTATGTCCCCCCCCGCGTTGCAGACCTGATGTGGTGGTGGCTCCATCGGGGGGCTGTCCGTGGGCTCCAAAGGCCAGGTGTTCGCCACGTCCCGCCATCCGGGGCATCCGCTTCCTGCAGATCCTGCGCATGCTGCACGTGGACCCGGCCCCGGGGGGCACCTGGCGGCTGCTGGGCTCCGTCGTTTCATCCACCGCCAGGTAAGACAGCGGCAGTGCACGGCAGTGCGGGCACGCCCCCCGCGAGGGGCCGCAGGGTCTACAGACGTTGGGTGGGACCGCCCAAAGCCGCGATGACCAGTGTGGCCGGC